TCATTGTTGTTTGGCGGGTCCGGGCTGGGGACTCGAACCTGCCACCTTAGGTGTACGTGGCTGGCGCCTTAGCCAGTTGAGCTATAGGTGCCAAGCCTGTTAAACTATTTTAAATTGTACACAAACTCTATGTCCACCCTATGTAAGAGGGAACCATAACTTCAATGGGATGTTTTCATTTTGTAACTAGAACCGTGAATCCTGTCAGGTTTGGGGTGCTGGCTGCTAGCTAGGTAGATGAAAAGGTGGCCCAACAGAAATGGTAGGAGTCCTTGGTGAGAAGAAAGTGGAGGGAGCTTCGGGAGGCATTCAGCCTTCACTTAGTGAAAGCTTACTTGCATCAAAGATAAATCCACAGGCCAGGTGAGGTGGCTCATGCCTGTATTCCTAGCATTCTGGGAGGCCAGTGGACTGCTTGAGCTCAGGAGTTTGAGACCAGCCTAAGAGTGAGACCCCTCTCTATTAAAAATAGAGAAATTAGCTGAGCCTTGTGGTGGGTGCCTGTAGTCCCAGCTACTTGGAAGCTAAGGCAAAAGGATCACTTGAGGCCAAGAGTTTAAGGTTGCTGTGAGTTAGGAATTCATAGCACTCTAGCCTGGAGCAATAGTGTGAGACTATCTCAATAAATAAGTAAATAATAAATAGCTAAATCCACAGAAGCAATGTCAATTTGTAGGGGCCAAGTGACATAGGACATAGAACAGTGGGACATACACACATGTTGAGAGGGAAAGAAACCAAACTTAGCATTGCCAGTGAGGTTACGATGGTCAACAGGATCCCGCACAAACCAAAGGCAACTTACGAAGTGCTTGGGAAAACTAATTCATCAGAAACCTGGGGTAGGTCTTGGCTTAGCAACTTATGGTCCAAATGACTGATGTTTTGGGAGAAGGAGTGACAGAAATGACAGAACTGTCACTGAGCAGAGCAGAGGAGTCAGCTCATCAGTTGTTTTTCCCTCCTGGATGGTCACAGTGTTACATGATGTTTTTCAGAGGTGATGATATTCTCACCATCCTGACAGAAGTCAACTATGAAGTGAGCAGCAAGGATGACAGAAAACGCCTGGGGAAGCAGATGCCACAGCCCACTTTCACGCTCCGGAAAAAGCTATTTTTCCCCCTTCTCTGATCTGTGCTGCTTGGATGTATAATACTACCTCTATTGATATTAGCACTTTTTTAATAAGGAAAAAGTTAATATATTAACTTAAACTATACTGTGTAACACTATCTTTATTGATATCTTGCACTTTGATAGAAGAAAAGTTAATATATTAACTTAAACTAATTTCCACACTACATGAAAATTTTCTAAATTAATAATTGGATATATTAATTATAATCTTTTAAAAAACCAAAAAATTTAAATAATCTGTCCCCAAACTTTTTCTGGCTTTTTCTATAATTGCCATCATAATATATACAGTATGCTATTGCAGAAAATATATTTGCTTTTTGCAAGTGGTGCTCTTTGTTCCTTTCATGCATTTGCATTTGTTCTTTGTGTGCTTGGTTTATTCTACATATTTTAGGAATTGTTATAGTGTACAGGACACACCCTGGGTGAAGGGTTCAACTATAACTTGAGCTCAAGTTGGCTCAAGCTACCCGCTTACCTCAGCCTCCCAAGTAGCTGAGACTATAGGTGCTGTAGTAGGAAACCGATGCAGACAGAAGACTCCAGGCACCAGTTGATTAGAGGAAGCGGGTTTATTCCAGCCAGGGGGTAACTGAATAAACTCATCTTGTGCTTTTTACATCGGAGCGTGTCTCGGATTCGTCTGTTTGGGCTATTTGGGAGAATAATTTTTCAGACCTAACACTTTCCAAAAATTGGGACTTTTTAAAAACACCACAGGATGTGGGACAAATTGTTAAAAAGCAGGATGTCTGGTCACCCTATACTAGAGGCCATGTTCCCAGGGAGTAGTGTGTCATACATTTCTTTCCTTCTTGGCAGTTATCTTTTGCCTATAAAAGGAAAGATAACATGATATCATCCTCAAGGTCCCGGGCTCAAGGGAGAAGGTCAGATTCGCCCATGTTCTTAAGACCGGTTCGATCACCTGCTCTCAAAGGCAATGGAAGTCCAGGAGAGTTACTAGGTTACAATCTAGACCCTGCATATGTCAAGGAAGAAACGTACAGACAACAGAAACGCCTGCAGCTCGGCTGAGGCCTACACAGGGCAGCTAGGACAGATTCTTTTAGTTCGGCTTTTACTTTCTTGCCTCAGTGCCAACCACAGTCCCTGGCTATTTTTAGAGACAGGGTCTCACTCTTGCTCAGATAAGTCTCTGTGGACAGCAGGCTGTGAGGCAGCAAGGCCCCCATAGCCTGGGGAACATTCAGGGATTGAACCCCCAACTATTTCTTCTCTGTTCTGTCAGAAACAACCATATTGGCTTGGCGCCTAAGGTGGCAGGTTCGAATCCAGCCCAGACCCGCCAAACAACAATAATGGCTGCAACCAAAAAATAGCCAGGCGTTGTGGCGGGCACCTGTGGTCCCAGCTACTTGGGAGGTGGAGGCAGGAGACTCGCTTGAGCCCAGGAGTTGGAGGTTGCTGTGAGCAGTGAAGCCATAGCACTCTACCCTGGGGGACAGCTTGAGGCTCTGTCTCAAAAAAAAAAAAGAAACAATCATATTCCTTTTTTCATGCTCCCTCTACCAGAAGTCACATAGTTCTTTCTTTGTCTAGTTAATTTTCAAGAATTACGCAAAGATCTTTATGATCTTTCCCTGCTTGCTTCTTGTCATATGTTAACGAAGATGAGTAACCATTAACAAGATGATTTGTCTTAACTCAAGTCTTTTACATTTTCCAGTCATGCTGTAAGACCAAAAATATGCCTTTAGTTTATGCTACTTCCTTCTAGGCAATCCTGTACAGATAAGAAAAGAGTGTAATTGTAAAGGATGTGTTACTGGTTCAATGTAGACATTTCACATTGTATATCAAAGCAGTACCCTGAACCCCATAAATGCATCAATGTACAAAGTTAGGATTTAATTAAGGTGACCAGATTGGTGGGGGGATGACAACAATGCAAACTTTGATAAGCAGTTCTCGATCATCAGTTTTCAACAAGTATTTGTTATTATTAAAGTTTAACATTATAAAATTAACAAAAATAATATGACGCATGTCCTGGCAAAATAGCCACATGGCAGTCGAAAACCGTATATTCCTTTCCTGTTCTCCTGTGTTCCCTAGCTTGTCGTGTGTTCTTTCCAAAAATTGGGGCTTTTTAAAAACACCACAGGATGCAGGACAAATTGTTAAAAATCAGGACTGTCCTGCCAAAAGCAGGACATCTGGTCACCTTACTCTGGGGTGGGGGGCGGGGCGGGGGCTACTTGTTTGTTCCAGACACTTTGGCTCCTTCTAAGTTAATTGTCCTTGCTTAGAAGCAAGGGAGAGAGCCAGTCTCCTTCTGATACCTTGCCCAGGAGGGGAGTAGAGAGTTTACATTAGCCTTTTCATTTCCAATTGGAGTTACATTAACCTTTTCAGCAGCTGAAACCCGTATATTCCCTTCCCATTCTCCTGCTGTTCCCTAACTTGTCGTGCATTCTTTCCAAAAATCGGGACTTTTTAAAAATGCTGCAGGATGCTGGACAAATTGTTAAAAATTGGGACTGTCCCGCCAAAAACAGGATGTCTGGCCACCTTAGATTTAATAAAAAATAATTAATTGTAAAAAAAATAAAGCTGATTTTGTGCTTTGGTGCTGGCTGCAGCCATCAGCTCAGTCAGACCTTCCGACCTCATCTTTTGTCTCTGTGTCTTCTCTTGTGCCATATTTTTCTCAGTCCCCACCAATTCCACTCTGGTTTGCTCCCCTTCCCTGCGCTGGTTTGTGACAGGTCTTGAATTCCTGAGCTCAGGAGATCCACCTGCTTTGGCCTCACAGAGTGCTAGAATTACAAGCATGAGCCACCACGCTTGGGCCCCTAACATAATCTTATTTTACTATTCCTTGAATATTTTTTGTGTCTATGTTTGATTAGTTTTTGGGTTTTTGTCAATGGCACCCCACAGGTGGAAGACATTTGCATTGCAGGCAGGTTTCACTTGAGCCATCCAATACTGACTCACACAGCTGTATTTTTAAAATTTGTTGTCAACATTTAAAAATTGGGAGCTATCAAATAAAAAAATAGAATGACTTCTTTTAATAAATCAGGATATTTAACAACATTGACTCCATACTCTTGTGAGCCAAGGAGTATCCCCTTCAGACAGGGCACACCCTCTGACGCTCAGCAAGCCCCACTCCCATTCCTCCCCAACCCTGTCCAAGCCCCAACCCCAACCCCAACCCAGCTCCTCCCTGCAGGATTATTTCTCAAGCTCAGCCCACTTCACGTATTGCCCTCCTCATGGGCATTTGAATTCTGGTGATGCTATGAAGAAGGGGGCAAGAATCATCAGAAATTCTTCCTAAATCAAGGGAAGGGTTATGTGTTTAACAGAAAAGGATTTCTGAACCAAATCAATAAATTATCATTTTTGGCTAGCTAAACTCCTCAGAGGACAAATGGTACACCCCCCAAATATAGTCAATGTTCATTAGGAAGAAGGCCATCAAATCAGTCCCTTTCTAATGACATAAGAAAAGATGGGGGGAAAAATGATACAAAGCGGACAGAGAGCTCAGCTCCAGGTACAGAGAACATTACCTTGCAGTGAAGAGTCATGATAAATTGTGCAAATGAGATGGAACTCAAACATTCCAACCACTCAGAAGAAAGCAAATTGTGAAAAGACAATAGAGTCGGAGCAACCTAAGAACATTATACATTTCTCAGGAAGGCCTCACAGGAGTTCCTTAGGCCTAAGGATGGTGTGCCCATCATCAGCTACAGAGAGTAACTTTTTGTTTATGAGTCTTCTTTTTTGTTGTTACCATCTTCTAAGATGTCAGAATACTCGTAAGTGGTACTAGAGCCCACGTTCCCAGGGAGTAGTGCGTCAGACATTTCTTCCTCCTTGGCAGTTAACTTTTGCCTATAAAAGGAAAGAAGAATATGTATCACTATAGACTCAAAAGGTAGAAAGGGCTTAGGAAGTTTGGGTGGTGGGGGAGAAATATGGTTTTATTCCTTTATTAGAGGTAGTCTCACTCATCACTTGCAGTGGTTTAGAATATAGTGAGACGTGGTATTTGGGTGACCAAATTCCCATATGAAGAACTTTCTACTAAAGTTTTGTGCAATGAACAACTTTCCTTTATTAAAATATAGACCAAAATTTATTTTAGTGATTTAAGAAGCATCTTCAGGTAAGGGTATAATTTCTGATCTGCAACTGGTTTCTTTTTTTGGCGACAGAGGCTCACTTTGTCACCCCTGGTAGAGTGCCCTGGTGTCATAGCTCACAACAACCTCAAACTCTTGGGTTCAAACGATTCTTTTGCCTCAGCCTCCTGAGTAGATGGGACTATGGGCACCTGCCACAATACCTAGCTATTTTTAGAGATGGGGTCTCATTGTAGCTCAGGTTGGTCTTGAACTCATGAGCTCAGGCAATCCGCCCAGCTCGGCATCCCAGAGTGCTGGGTTTACAAATGTGAGCCACCACGCCTGGCCTTGCACTTGGTTTCCACAGAAACCAGAACCTGCACCTAAGGGTAAATATCTGAACTCAGGATTTAAAAACGACCTTCAGTCATAGAACTGAATAAACTCAGAAACTGGCAGATAAATTTCCTGTGTCATTTGCATATAAACAGAGAAACAGGTAAGGGACAGAAGTCTAGACACATCCCAGCTCTACTTCGAATGAACTGTCTGGCCTCTGAAAACTGTCTCTGCCCAGATTCAGAGTGACATACCCTCCTCTGGGAAGCGCCTGTGCCTGACATCACCAGGGAGCCTCTGCCATCTTCCAACCTCCTCCTCACTCCCACGCCTCCCACTCCTCAGGAGAACTTAGCCACAGCTTTCTGAGCGGCAGCATCCACACCTTAGATAGTTGTTTTCTTCTGTCAGCGTCTGTATGGTGGACTTATACTTTTCCTCAGCTTCAGCAAGCTTGGTCTGGAACATTTTCTCCAGATTTCCCACTGAAGCTTTCTGAAAGATAAAACATTTAATAGCTGTCTGCTCAAACTCAAACATCCAGGGCAGAGCTACCCCCATGCCCACTCCAGCCAGGACTCACCTCTCTCTGGAGTTCCAGATGGACGTGGTAGAGGTTTGTGTTGAGTGACTCTAGGATAAGAGCTTGTGCATGCAACTCTTCCTCTATGACCTGTGTAAGAAATTGTTTCAAGACACCATTCCGAGGTCTACCTATTTAACGTCTTCTCCAGGGCGCCCGGGCTAGAATGCAAAGCAGCAACTTTAGCTACTTCCTCCTGTCCACTGGAAGCCGGTCAGTCCCCACGCCCTGTTAGTTCTACGCCCTCTCCGTCTCCCCCACTGGACCCTTCTCTTGAGCCTCACTGTCACTCCGCCGAGCCGGCCCCCACCAGAGCCCATGTGTGTTGTTATGGCTCTCCACTATTCACTCGCTGTTCAAGTCTTTATTAAATACCTGCTACTGATTCCAATTAAAAGACACCCTGGAGAAGGCAAAATTATAGAGATATTAAAATGATTAATGGTTGCCAGGAAGTTGGGACAGGAAGCAAGGGAAGGATGGGAGACAGAGGCCATTTTTAGAGCAGTAAAACTATTCTGTATGATACTGTAGTGCTGGGTTCATGGCATGAGGTATTAGGCAAAACCCACAGAATGGACAGCACAAGGAGTGAACCCCATGCAGACTGTTAACCTGTGGTTAATAACGAGGCATCAGTATTGGCTCCTCACCTCGCTAATGTAAGATGTGACAATAGTGGAAACTTTGTGTGTGTGTGTGTGAGTATATGGGAACTCTGCACTTTCTATTCAATTTCTCTGTACAACCTAAACATGCTTTAAAAATAGATTATTTGTTAAAAAAAAAAAACCCACTACTAAAGGATGAAGAGGAGCTTGTGCAAAGGTGCTCAGAAGCAAAGTTCTCAGTAGGTTTGAGGCCCTGCAGGACACCAGCATGGCTAGAATAGAGACAGCGGGCAGGAGAGTAGGCCAAGGAGAGGACAAGGCTGCTATAGAGACAGCAGGAAGGAGAGGGGGCCAAGGTGAGAAGACCCTGAGAGGCCAGGCCACCTGGGAACAATGGCATGCCATCAGGGGTACCTGCACGAACCTCACTGCTTTGTGGAGAATGGATTAGAGGGGCGGGGGGGGGAGTAAGGGGGCTCCGAAGGGGCTGCAACGGTAGTACAGGCGAGGAATAATGGACCAGGGTAAGGTGGCAACAGCATGGGGGTGCAGAGGACAAAGCTGGAATATGCAGTAGAGGACAGGGTGACACTGATGGGTCAGATATGGAAGAGTGACAGGAAGGAAGAAATCAGGGATGACTGTGGGTCTGGGTTTGAATAGCTGAGGTAACTGACAAATGTGGGGCTCAAATCTCTGGTGGAAAATCAAGAGTGTGGAGTTCACATGTAAATTTTGAGATGTCTGTGAGTCCCCTATATGGAAATGTCAAGTGAGCAGGTGGTATGCACAAGCCTGAGGCTCAGAGGGGAGGGGAGGCTGGAGAATCGACCTGAGCGGTTGACACAGAGATGGCTTTTCTGTCTACATGGACAAACAAATGCACCTAGAGAGAAAGGGGAGATGAAGAAGAGAAGTGGGGGCTGGGCACGGGGGCTCATGCCTGCAATCCTAGCTGTCCGGGACGCCGAGGTGGGTGGATTGCTTGAACTCAGGAGTTTGACACCAGCTTGAGCCAGAGTCAGACCCACCTCTACTAAAGACAGAAAAACTAGCAAGGCATTGTGGCAGGTGCCTGTAGTCCCAGCTACTCAGGAGGCTGAGGCAGGAGGATTCTTAAGCCAAAGAGTTTGAGGTTTCTGTGAGCTATGACACTGTGAGGCTCTACCCAGGACTCAAAAAAAAAAAAAAGAAGTGGGGTCCAGGACTTGGGATTAGATGGATAGGAGAACCTCTCAAAGGATATTGAGAAAGTGTGGCCAAGGAGGTAACCCCTGAAGCCTATAAAATCCAAGAGAGGTGGGTGTTTCAAGGAAAAAGTGATAAGCCACACCCGATACTGCCACTGTCAGCTGAGGGGAGGCGTTCCCTGGATTCAGCAACTTGAAAGTTACGGTGATTTTAACAAGAGCAGCTTCCGTAGATAGAGTGGAAGCAGAAGCCAGGTTGAGGGTAAAGGGGAGGTGACAATTCTAACAGGTCCCCCTCCTGTTATTTTCCCTCTTCAGACTCTGCCCTCTGTATTGCTGCCAGAGTTCTTCTCCCAAGTGACACTCTCCGCCTCGAAAACCTCCACTGGCTTCCCACTGACTACAGAATTTTTTTCTTTTTTGAAACAGAGTCTCACTCTGTCTCCCTAAGTAGAGTGCCATGGCTTCACACCTCCCAGCAACCTCAAACTCGGGCTCAAGTGATCCTCTTGCCTCAGCCTCCTGGAGCATCTGGGATCACAGGCACCTGCCACAATGCCAGCCTAGTTTTTCTATTTTTGATAGAGATGGGGGCAGGGGAAGTGGGTATGTCTCGCTCTTGTTGAGGCTGGTCTCCAACTCCTGAACTTAAGCACTCCTCCCACCTCAGCGTCTCAGAGTGCTGGGATTACAGGTGTGAGCCACTGCCGACCACCCAGCCCTGACTGCAGACTTCTGGTGATGATGAATGGGGCTAGTGAAGGCCCTGAAGGCCTTGCAGGTGCAGTGTTAAACAAAAAACAAACAAAAAGACCTCTTTGCCCATCTCTATGGGTAAACTGGATGCTGGGTTGATTTCCTGTTCTGTTTTGGAAAGCTATGGAAAGGTGGAATGCCAGTAGGCAACATTGCTTGGAGTAGTGACCCCATTGCTTGGAGTTGGTGAGCAGCAGCTGCACTGTGAGGGCAGTGAGGGGAACACCAGCCCCTGGTAGGCAGGGATGGCTGTGGACTTCCCCGGGGGCAGGGACTCTTGTAACTGGGCATGACCTGGAAGCTGTGCATGTGGATCTGTTATGACAGTGGTCCCCCACCTTTCTGGCACCAGGGACCAGTTTTATGGAAGACAATTTTTCCACAGACTGGGGATGGTAGCAGAGGTCTGAGAGGAGGTGGAGCTTGGGCAATGATTCAAGCAATGGGGAGCAGCTATAAACACAGATCAAGTTCTGCTCACCTCCTGATGTGGCCTCAGACTGGTACTGGTCTGCTGCGCCATGTTCGGGGATCACAGTGTTACAAAGATATTTGGCAAGAGCCTTCTAAGCCAGGATAGCTCCTGCACCCACATCCTCCCCAAGCTGTTCCATGGCGGGCCCCATTAGACTAGCCCTGAACCACTGGGAACTCCTGTGATGCTCTCACCAAAGAGAAATCTCCTGATTCTGCCCCTCCCCCACAGGCTGTGCTTCCTGCCTCATAGCCTTCCGGGTGAATCTAGCACAGAGAGGGCCTGTGGCCCCTCATGAGTGTGAGATTCTAATTGTAACTAAGAGCGTCTTAGCTGCAGCCCCTAAGCTACCTTTCCTAATCTGCCCTGCTGCTCTTTCCATACACCAGGTCCTTTCATTATGTCACCATCCTTTCTCTCAGGTGGGAACACCATCTTTGCCCTGTCCACATTCTGAGATTCAGAAATACTCCTCACCTGTCAAAACCAGCTGAAAGGCCGTGTGGAAACCTTCCTGAGTCCATCGCTCACTCCACCAGCTACAGTAGTAGTTCTTTCCTCTGGCAGAATTAAATTGTGCTTCTATTTTACCATAAACATCTCTGTTTTCCCCCACTTACGACCTTTGTAGTACTCATAATCAGCACCTAGTCAGTGCCAGATGCATCTGTGAGGTGCATTAGAGGCTAAAAAAACGTGAACTAGATGAGTCTGTTACCAGGTGCCAGCCCCACTTAACTCCTCAGAGCCCTAGAGCTCTTCCCGTGCGATGAGCACCCTTCCCGAGCCATGTAAACTGGGGCAGTGCCATCATGTATGGCAATCGCATTGTGTGAGCACTATGCCAGGTCATCCTGCATTCTTTCACTCATTTATTCATTCAAAAAATTGACTACCAGGCAGCGCCTCTGGCTCAAAGGAGTAGGGCACTGGCCCCATATGCTGGAGGTGGCGGGTTCAAACCCAGATCCAGCCAAAAACTGCAAAAAAAAATTGACTACCATTTACTGAATGCCTGTCATATGTCAGGCACTGTTCTAGGATCTGGGGACTAATACTAAAGAAAACAGGAAAACGTCCTTGCCTTTCTTGAGTTTATCAGTGTGGAAGATAATAAATCTGTGTAAAGAAATAAAAGAGGGAAAAAGCAGCAGCATGGCAGGGGGCTGAGCCCTTAAATAGAGGGACTCTTGAGAAGGTGGCATTTGAGTAAGGACCAGAAGGAGGAAAGGAAGTTAGTCATGTGGATATCTGGGAAAGAGCTTTCCAGGGAGAGAGAATATCAAGAACATAGACGAGAATGCAGACCAGCCTGCCCCTAGGCAGAAGCATCTTGGCCTGTTATTAGAACGAACAAGGAGGCCCGGGCCTCTGGGGCAGAGTCATGGAGGGAAGAAAGAGAAGACCAGGTTGGGGGAAAGAACCATCAGTAAGGAGCAGGTGGAACAATCCCTGGAGCCAACACAGAGCTGGGAATAGTTCAGTAGTCCCACCAGCCATTGTTGATAAAACCCCAATACAGAGGGCATTGTCTGGATACTCAGAAGGGCATGACCTCAATAGTGGGAAAGATTAGCTCTACTCTAAAGACTACTTTAATTCTGCCTAACAGAGCTTAAAAGCAAAGCTTGAAAGGCTCGAACTGTTTCCAAGTAACTCCCTCCTAGGGTAAAGCTCAGGAATAGTTAAAGAAATATAAAAATTTTAAGCACCCAACAAGGTACACTTTGCAATGGTTGGCATCCAATAAAAAATTACTAGACATTACTAAACAAGAAAATATGACCAGCTATGAGGAGAAACATCAATGAATACAAACAGACCCAGACAGAATTAGTAGATGGGCTCATTGAAACAATTACTGCGATATTCTGGGTCTAGCTGGCTCCTAAGGCCATTTCTTTAGCTTGTAGGACATCAAGCTGCTTGCCCGTCAGACAGATGTCCTGCCTGGGCTCTAAATATCAACACTTTATAATGCCTTCGTAATGAGTAATCTTTCCCCAAACATGTCATTCTGGACACAAATTAAATTCCAGTGAAGGAAGAACCACAAGTCATTTTGCGGGTCTGACAGCTCTTCTCTTCAGCTGTCTCCTAGGAAGTGCCACCATTTGTCCCGGAAGCACGGAGCTCCTTGAGGAAGCTGTAGTTTGTGACCTAAACGCAAGAGTTTTGTTTGTTTATTTGTTTTGTTTTTTTTTGCAGTTTTTGGCTGGGGCTGGGTTTGAACCCGCCACTTTGGGAGATGGGGCCGGCGCTCTACTCCTTTGAGCCACAGGTGCTGTCCTAAACTCAGAGTTTTAAGGAGAGCTTGTAGACAGAGTTCCACAGGGGGCAGTTTTATACTTTTTCAGGGCTCCAAGGGAAGAACCTGGTATTTCATAACTCAAAGGCCTTTTGTGATTTGAACCTTGCTAGAAATGAAAGGCACTCAAAATTGAAGATCACACAGTACATTGCTCATGCATTTGTTCAAATCTGGATCTAAAAAGATATTACTGGCTCTGTTTTACGGGTAGTTTCAAAACCCTTTTTGACTTAATGAATTCAATAAATTCAGCTTTAGGTCTTCCGTTCTCTGTTGGTTTTAGGGAAATTATCATAACTCTATTTTACCAAGAGTCTATCATTTTATGCATGTGTTTGTAAGATACCAAGTGCCGAGGGAAGGGTGACAGAGCTCACCGTCTTGGTCTTCTTCAGCTCCTCTATTTGCAAGTTATCACTGTCATGTTGTTTCAAGAGCTCCTAAAAACAATTTTATTTGGAAAAAGTCAGCATTGAGGTTCTGACACTTCTTTAAAGTGTCAGAATTTTTTGTAGGGCGTTAAGAAAGCCAGAATAGGCTCGGCGCCTGTGGCTCAAGCAGCTAAGGCGCCAGCCGCATACACCTATGGTG